AGAAGAGAAGTACAGGGTCCAAGTGACTGCTGGGCCTAACACAGGTGACTGGGATAGCTACACATGCATATAGTTTCCACCAAAAAAAAATTATATGAATTTTAAACAATTTTTCAAGAGTAAGTGTTAACTTTCATGTTACTGATAAAAGTGAAAACTGGTATAATCTTTTGGGGGAGGTGGTGGTATTTAAAAGTATGTATCAAAAGCCTTAAATTTTTATATAAATTTTTATATGATTCAAAAATTCTACTTCTAGCAATTCATGGAATTCAAGTAAGTGATATAGAGATTTAGTTACAAATATGTCCATCATACTGCTGTTTAAAAGAATGCAAGGGCTTCCCTGGTGGCGCAGTGGTTGAGAGTCTGCCTGTCAATGCAGGGGACACAGGTTTGGGCCCTGGTCCGGGAGGATCCCACATGCCGCGGAGCGGCTGGGCCTGTGAGCCATGGCCGCTGAGCCTACGTGTCCGGAGCCTGTGCTCCGCAACGGGAGAGGCTGCAACAGTGAGAGGCCCGTGTACCGCAAAAAAAAAAAAAAAAAGAATGCAAAACTTGAGGGACTTCCCTCGTGGCTCAGTGGTTAAGAATCTACCTGCTAATGCAGGGGACATGAGTTCGAGCCCTGGTCTGGGAAGATCCCACATGCCGCAGAGCAACTAAGCCCGGTGCGCCACAACTACTGAGCCTGCGTTCTGGAGCCTGTGAGCTACAACTACTGAAGCCCACGTGCCTAGAGCTGTGCTCCGCAACAAGAGAAGCCACTGCAATGAGAAGCCCGCACACCGCAACAAAGGGTAGCCCCCGCTCGCTGCAACTAGAGAAAGTCCGTGCGCAGCAACGAAGACCCAACACAGCCAAAAACAAATAAATAAATAAATTTATTTTTAAAAAAAAGAATGCAAAACTTGAAATTATCAGGCCAAATATATTATGGTGTATATCCATACAATGAAATGGTAGTTCACACATTAAAAGGTATCAATTTTAATGATTAAAATGGTCACAATGTATCAAGTTTTCCTTTTTTTTTTTTACTGTGTTGCAGAGTAATGAATGTATTATATTTTGTAAACCAGTATTATATGTATATTACGTATATTTAAGAGTTTCATGAATTGATGCTTACCCATATTATTTGAGATATACTCTGATATTCCTTGTTCAACTCCATTAAAAAAAAAAGCTTGCTGTGAGCCACTAAGTTGATTTTATGGTTTCACTAATGGGTGACTACTTGCAATTTGAAGAAATCCATTTTTAGGGTGTAAAATAAAATCCCAATGGCATTTAGTAATCATGACCAAGGAGTCAAAATGCTTGGCACTCAATTTACCCAGTAAATTGTAGCTGTAATGTACACTGAATTTCTCCTGTCTCTTTTAAAAAGGGAACTCTGATCTTTGCAGATCTTTGCTTTTCCAGTTACTTGTACAAAGTAAAGAGTCAAATGTTGAATAAATGAGTTTTCCAAGATCTAGAGTTCAAAGCAGATTGCATATTTGATCATTCTTTCATTCATTCACTCATTCCAGAAACACTCATTGAATGCCCCAGTGAGTCATGCATTGTGCCAGGGCTGTGTTCACAACCATGTAAAGCCCAAATGCTTAGGAGGGGAAAGAGTTATTATATAGTACATGGTATAAAAGAAGTATGGGAAAAATGTTATGAAATCCCAGTGCCGAGCTGTGGAAGCATCACAGAAGTGACATTTGAGGAGTGCCCTATAGAGCAAATAGGTTTAGCCAAGTAGAGAAGGAACGGTATCCTCACCAGAGGGAATAGCATGGAAAGAAGCATAGAGATGTGAAAGAGCATGAGGCCTTGGGGAATAGGATCACTCTCCTAGTGGGTGGGAAACGGGGTATGAGTACTGAAGTGATGCAAGATGAGGCTGAGAGCTTGCCTGGGGTCAGCGTCCAGCTTGTGAAGAAGATTGGATGCAGCATAGCAGGACTGGAAACTACTCTGGCCTGGGGCACTGCAGGTGCTCTGTAAACAGTATCTTTCTTCCCTTGCCTTCTCCCCCTTCTCACACCAAGGAAGACTGCTCAAGATGGTTTCTCTCTCTTCACATGCTTAGAAACCTCTTGGATATCCCTCAAAAATTCCACCAAGGAAGAACAAGAAGTTTAAGTGATTTAAAACGCATCATTAAGTCATTTGTGATCTTTTAATCCAAAGAATATGGAGAAGAAAGAGAAACTACAGTCCTGAAGACATACAAACCATAAAGCCAAAAGCCAAGATTCAGGTGTTTCAGGAGAGAGGAGGAAAGATGAGTTTTCCATCATAAAACTAGTAATAATCATATCACAGAAAATTTAGAAAATGAGAGAAAAAAATGTTAACTCATAACTTTACTATCCTAATATACCACTGTTGATAATTTGGAAGTTCTTTTAAAACTCTTACTTCTGAGTATCTGGCTGTTTTTCTTAATTGTAGTCATGGTAGATATATCATTCAATATTCTGCTTTTTCCACTGAACTGTATCCTTAGCATTTCCTGTGTTGCCCACATTCTTCATAGCAATCATTTTTAGTGACTGTATGGTACACTCCATTGAATGGCAGTGGAATAGATCACCTTAAACACTCCCCTTAATTTTGGATATTAAGGTTGTTCCCAACTTCAGTTAACATAAACAATGCTATTTGGTTAGGTGGCTTTCTCCATTTAGAAGGATTTGCCAGAAAAAAACCCTTAAAGGTAGAATTATTGAGTCAAAAGGTAATACGTATTTTAATGTCCTATTACATATATCACCACATAAGAAAGCCTGATTTAGAAGAGCATTGATCAGGTTACAGAAAGCACGAAGTAAAAGAAAGGAGAGTGTAAGCAGATGGTAAAGGTCTCCGCATATACGTGCATACACAGAAACCTGTGAGTTTCAGGCCAAAGAATATTAGAAAGGGCCCCGACTGAGCTCTGGGAAATCAGTGATGAGGTGTGGTATGTTCACCTCACTGGAAGCCTGGAAGCGTCTGAGCTCTCTTTTGCCAAGCTTTTAAAAAGCTCTACAAATTTTATCCGTTGGCTAAACAGTGTATACTTAACACTCTTGAAGGAACAAGAGATGTTCTTTAAATTTTAAGAGAGAAACAGATGAAGAGTGCTTGGTTAAATGGCTGCGGAGGGAGGGACATTATGTTTCTGTTCAAAGCATCCACATGGGCTTGAGATAAACACCAGCAACGAAAACCCAATGCAGCCAAAAATAAATAAATAATAAATTTATTAAAAAAAAAAAGAAGTCTGTAAACAGGCCTTTATACCAATAAAAGATGGACTATTCTTGCCATATTCCTTTCCCCAAATCCATAGCTAGGGAACAATACAATATTGTCAGTGAAAGCAGTACATTTGGCAAGTTTCATGGAACCCAGCAAAGTACAACAGTATTAACCTTGCCAACTCTCTCTCTTTTTTTTTTTAATGGTACAAAAAGCTAACTAAGATTACAAAATTTAAGACTAAATTGTCTAGGTAACTAGTAGAAAGCCAGAGCCACCCTGCCTCCAAAGTTACCCCTTAACCCATGTTCATAAATCATGTGAAAATCAGCAGAGCTGTTCTGAAAGCTAATCAATATTAGAACTTCCTTTTTAAAATTAATTTCCAAGTCCTCTTCCTTTTGAAAATTTACTTTATGAAGTCATAACTAATATACAATAGAATGCATATATTTAAAAAGTACAGTTCAATGAGTTTTGACAAATATATACATCTGTGTAACCATCACCACAATCAAGAAATAGAACACTTCCTTCACCTCAGAATGTTCCTTCCTGCCCTTTTCAATCAGTTCCTGCCTTCTCCATCCGAGGCCGAGGCAACCACTGGCCTGCTTTCACCCACTATAGAGTAGTTTTCTCTCTTTTAGATTTTAAATACATGAAATCATATAGTACATTCTCATGTGTCTGGCTTTTTTTGCTCAGTGTAATATACTCAAGATTCATCCCTGTTGTTTTGTGTATCACAAGTATGTTACAATGAATAATGACTCATGTAGTAAAAAGTAGGGATAAAATATAGTGTTTCTCCATCTATCAGCTGATGGACATTAGGATTATTACCAGGTATTGTTTACTGTGAATAAAGCTGCTATAAACACTCGTGTACAAACCTGTTTGGATATATATTTTCATTTCTCTTGAATAAATACCCAGGAGTGGGGTTATTGGGTTATATTGCTGGTGTACATTTAACTTCAGAGAAAACTGCCCAACCGTTTTCCAAAGTGGTTGTTCTGTTTTATGCTCCCAATACCAGTGATGAAAGTTTCAGATCAGTTGTTCCACATCCTTCCTAACACTTGTTATTGTCAGTCTTTAAAAAAAATTTTTTTAAGTCAGGTATGACTTACATATAGTAAAATTTACCACTTTTGGTGGCTAGTTTTATGAATTTTGAAAGATGCACATAGCCATGTAACCATCCCCACAATCAAGATACAGAACAGCTCCGTCACCCCAAATGCCCTCACACCCCTTGACAGTCAGCTGCTCCTCCCAGCCCTTCTCCGGACAACCGCTCATCCGAGTTCTCGCTCAACAGTTTTGCCTATTCCAAAACGTCAAATAAATGGATTATTTCACTTAGCATAATGTGAGATTCATCCATTTTGTTGGATAGATCAGTACTTAGTTTCTTTTGATTGCCAAGCAGTATTCCATTTTACAGGCACACCACTGTCCCTCACCAGTTGAAGGACATCTGGAATGTTTCCAGTTTTTGGCAATTATGAACAAAGCTGTTAAAAACATTCACGTCCATGCGTCTGTGTGTACATAAGTTTTCATCTTCTTGCGTGTATACCTAAGACTGAAATTACTTGGTCACAGAGTAAACATTTGTTTAAGATACTCATTTATAAGAAATGCAGTCTTTTTACTTTAGCCATACCAGTGGGTATATAGCAGTACCTTCCTTGTGGTATCAATTTACACCCTCATGGAACATCTTTCCCTGTGCTTACTGGCTATTGTTTTTCTTTTTTCTCTCCAAATCCGTCCTTTAATGTCAGGTAGTGCTTCAACCTAAACACACACAGGATACATACCGTAGAGAAAACGGACCTGAGGGCATCCGAGTCATGGACGGTGTGGTAGTAAAAACCTTGGCCCAATGCAAAGGAGCAGTCAAGGGCCTGGAAGAAGGATGGTACTCTCTTTCCCCTCTCCATTTCTCTTTCCTACTGGGCTTAAACTCAAGTTTGTGGAAGAGAAAGAGCTTTCAATTAGTGGAACCAATGAGGCCCCAGGGCCTTGGAAGGTAGATTTGGTTGTACAGTATTACAAAATATATTTAAGAAAAAAACAGCCCAGGCCTCCCAGCAGCCCAAGTGTCAGCTGGTCCAGTGGCCCGACCTCTACATGTAGGTGTTGGACCGGGAAGGGGGAGGGAGTGATTGCTGGGCACTGGTGTCAGTTCATGATGGAGCAGCATAAGATCTTCCCTGCTCTGTGAACGTGCACATAAACATAGCCCCCTGCCCTCAGCCCTGCTCTGCTGCAAGGAAGCCACTCAGAGTAAGTGACTGCTGGGCACAAAGTGTTCAGTAAGACCAGTTATGGGGTCTAGTGCAGTGAAGTCAGTCATTCATTTAGGACCTATTTTCACACAGGGGCAAGGAAAAACCAGAAACTTCTATCTCACCCTTTAAACTGGGACATTCCAACCTATACAATTACCTGTAACGTGTCTCAGCTCAAAACAGGCCTTAGCTTCTGCTAAGGTTTGAAGTATGGAAAACATACAGTGCAGCTCTTCTCTTGGTCTAAGCTCTAGCTTTCGGCAAGACTGTTGCAGAAGATTTCTAATTGAGAGGCAGAAGCATCTGCGGTGAGGAAGGCAGCTATTGAAGGAATTCCAGGAGCCTGAGGCTTAGTTTGCAGAGCTGAGTGCTATCAATTTCCTTTTCTACTGGTATCTTCTTCCTTCAGAGCAAACTTCCTCCTTAGGACCTCAGAGGTAAGCATGGCAGGGTCTTCCTCCTTCAATAAACTCCAGTTCAGGTCTTGGCTCTGCTTCACTCGGTGGAAGTCCTTTAGGATATCCATCATATCTGCAAAGCTGCTGGCCTTGGACAGAAAGACGCAGTCATCTTCTTCGGACGGGCTGCAGGTAGCTTTGTGTTCTGGTTTGCAACATTCAGGGCTGGCAGAACAAAGCAGGGGGACTGATGGAAGCTCAGGGACCTGTACCTTGGTCTCCTTGGTGATGTCACTAATGACAAAGGAAGTTGTAGAGTAGAATGAGGATCCAAAACAAGGTAAGGGAGAAGAGACATTTGAACTTCCTGCATCAGCTGACACCATTTTAGCAATCTGGCTGCTCAGGTGGCTCAGCTCATCCTGCAGCTCTTTGGTGCAGCCAAGGGCTGGCAGGGCTGGCTTCTTCAAGGCCAGAAGCCTCTCCTCCGACCCACGCAGTTTGGGCACTGAGGCATTGCGCTGAATGACGATCAGAGGGCTGGGCTTGCAGGTGTGCCTCAGGGGGCGTGTATCGCTCCTGACCAGGACATAAGTCTCCTCTACATCTGCAGGAATCCAGACGATGTCAGCCAGAGTAGGGACTGGCAGTACATGCCTCAGACACAGGTCAGAGATGTTGGGCAGGGTCTCAAAGGATGCCCGGGGACATGGCTTCAGGGGCAGGTCGGTCCCGATTCTTCTCACTATACTTTCAGCAGCCCCACGTGGCTTGTTTTGCCAGATTGGGATGGTCACATTGGCCTCCATTCCTGACATTTCAACTGGCTCCTGCACTTGAAGCACAAGGCAGACACAGGGCAGCTCTGGAGGCTTGGAATGGCAGGAGGCGTGAAGCCTTCATATCAGGCCATTTTAAGAAACACCAGACTTATCTTCCTCAGGGCCCCTCCTGCCACAGCCTTATTGGCCATTTGAATATCTTTTATTGTTGAGTGACTCTTCAAGTCTTTTGCCTACTTTTTAATTGGGCTGCTGTCTTATTATTCAGTTTAAGGGTTCTTTATATATTCTGGGGAAAAAGTCCTTTTGCAGATATAAGTATCAAGAATATTTTCTCTCAGTCTGTGGCTTGCCCCTTCATTTGTAAAATGGTGACTTTTTTTTTTTTGGCTGCATTGGGTATTCGTTGCTGTGCGCGGACTTTCTCTAGTTGCGGTGAGTGGGGGCTACTCTCTGTTGCGGTGTGTGGGCTTCATTGCAACGGCTTCTCTTCTGGCGGAGCACAGGCTCTAGGTGCGCGAGCTTCAGTAGTTGTGGCACATGGGCTCAGTAGTTGTGGCACATGGGCTCAGTAGTTGTGGCTTGAGGGCTCTAGAGCTTAGGCTCAGTAGTTGTGGTGCATGCGCTTAGTTGCTCCGTGGCATGTGGGATCTTCCAGGACCAGGGCTCGAACCCACGCCCCCTGCATTGACAGGCAGATTCTTAACCACTGTGCCACCAGGTAAGTCCCTGTGTTTTATGTCTTAACTAAGAAAACTATGCTTACCTTAAGTTCATGAAGATTTTCTCCTATCTTTTCTTCTATTCATTTTATAGTTTTTGCCTCTAAGTTTAGGTCTATAATCCATTTTGGGCTAATATTTGAAAGAGGTAAAAGTCAACACTCATTTTTTTCCATATAGATATCCAGTTCTTCCAGTAGCATTTGTTGAAGAAAACTATCCTTCCTCAATTGAATTACTTTGGCATGTTTGTTGAAGATCAATTAACCATTTATGTGTGGGCCTAATTCTGAACTATTTATTCTGTTCTATTGAACTCTATGTTTACCTACAATGTTGATCTACATTTACTATAACTTTACTGGAAGCCTTAAAAGTAGGTAATACAAGTCCTACAACTTTGTTCTTTTTCAACATTGTTTTGGCTATTCTAGATCTTTCGCATATTCATGTGCATGTTAGAATCAGCTCAAGTTGTTTTTTTTTTAAGCCATCTGGAATTTGGGCTGGGATTATATTGAATCTATAGATCAATTTAGGAAAAATTAACATCTTAAAAATATTGAGTCTTCCAATCCAAAAAGTGGAGTATCTCTCCATTTGTTTAGGTCTTTTAAATTATTTTCTGAGAAATGTTTTATAGCTTTCAGTATACAAATCTTGCACATATTTTGTTAAATGTATTCCTAAGTATTCTGTGTTTTGTATGCTATTTAAAATGGTACTTTAAAATATTTCATTTTTCAATTGCTCATTACTAGCATATAGAAGTACATTTGGTTTTTATATGCTAACCTTATCCTGTACCTTTGCTAAATTTGTTTATGAGACCCCCTTTGGATTTTCCATATACATGATCATGTTGTCTGAATAAAGACAATTTTTCTTCCTTCTTTCTAACCTTTAGGGCTTTTATTTCTTTTCCTTGTCTTAGTGAGTGGTTAGAACCTCCAGTACCATGCTGAATAGAAATGGGAAGAGCTAACATCCTTTTTTTGTTCTCGTTCTCAAGGGGAAAGCATTCAGTCTTTCACCACAAAGTATGTTGGCTCTAAGTTCTTCCGAGATGCTCTTTATCACTATGAGGATACCTAGGTTTGCTAAGAGCTTTTATCAAGGACAGATGTTGAATTTTTCCTAAAATACTTTTTTGGCTTATGTTTCGATATAGTTTTCCTTTTTTAGTCTGTTGATATGGTAAATTACACTGATTTATTTTCAAATATTTAACCAATCTGTACACATTTGATCATGATGTATTATCCTTTTTATATTGCTGGATTCAATTGGCTAATATTTTGTTAAAGGTTTTTACATCTATATTTATTAGGTATATTGATCAATATTTTTTTTTCTTGTAAATTCTTTGTTTGATTTTCATGTCAGGGTAATGCTGACCTCATAAAATAAGGTGGAAGGTGTTCCTTTCCTCTCTATTTTCTGAAAAAGTTAGTGTAAGATGTATCCTAAAATATATGATAGAACTAATCCGTGAAGCTCTCTGGGCCTGGAGTTTTCTTTGTGGGAAAGTTTTAATTAATTACAAATTCAAATTTCTTTAATAGAAACAGTACTATTTCAACTTTCTATTCCTTCTTCAGTCACTTTATGTTAACTGTGTATTTCAAGGCATTTGTTCATTTCATCCAATTTGTCAAAATTATAGGCATCAAATTGTTACTAATACTCCCTTAATTCCTTTTTTCTGTTTCTCTTTTTCAAAAAATATACATTTTGGAATATTCTTAGATTCACAGAAAAGTTGCAAAGATAGTAGAGAGAGTGCCCAGATACTCCTCAACGCAGTTTCAGTTTCCCATACCTTACATTACCATGGTGCATTTGTCAAAACTAAGAAACTGACATTGGTACATTATTATTAACTAAACTCCAAACTTTATTGTGATTTCATCAGTTTTTCCATTAATGCGTCTTTTCTATCCTAGAATTCAACCCAGAATTCCAATTTAAAAAAAAAAATTTTGGGGGGGGGGCTGCACTGCGCGGCATGCGGTATCTTAGTTCCCCGACCAGGGATTGAATCCGTGCCCCCTGCAGTGGAAGCACCGAGTCTTAACCACTGGACCGCCAATGAAGTCCCTGACCTTGATAGTTTTGAGAAGTACTGGTCAGGTATTTGATAGAATGTCCCTCAATTTGAGTTTATCTGAAGGTTTTGTCATGATTTTACTGGGTTTCTGGAAAGAATAACACAAAAGTGACATATCCTCCTCATCACGTCATATCAAGTTTACAGTGATATTCACATGACATCACTTGGTTAAGGTAGTTTCTGCCATTTCTCCACTAAAGTTACTCTTTTTCCCTTTATATACACTAGTTTTGGAAGTGAGTCACTAAGTCCAGCCCACACTCAAGTGTGGGGGGTGTGTGTGTGTGTGGGGGGGGTGCGGACACAGAGATTAAGCTCCTTCTCCTAGACAGGACAATATCTACAGATATTAATTTGAAATTCTTTTATAAGGAAGATTTGTCTCTCCTCCCCTACCAATTCTCTTCATTAGTGTTTGTATGGTATATCTTCTCTACCCTTTTACTTTTCATCTGACTCTTTAAAGTGGAATTCTTGTAGACAGCATACAATTGGGTCTTACTTTTAAAATATAATTTAATAATCTCCAATAAGTGGAGTATTTAGACCACGTACATTTAATGTAATAATCACTATAGTTGGGTAAATCTATCATCTTGCTAACTTTTCTATTTGTTCCATCTGTGTTTGGTTCCTTTATCCTTCCCGCCTCCAAAATCTTTTGGATCTTCAATATTGGTTTATTAGCTATATACCACTTTCTTTTTCCTTAGTGGTCTTCTAAGGTTTACAATATACATTTTTTTAAATTTTATTTATTTATTTTTGGCTGCGTTGGGTCTTCATTGCTGTGCACGGGCTTTCTCTAGTTGTGTCGAGCGGGGGCTGTTCTTCGTTGCAGTGTGCAGGCTTCTCACTGTGGTGGCTTCTCTTGTTGCAGAGCACAGGCTCTAGGTGCGCAGGCTCAGTAGTTGTGGCTCATGGGCTCTAGAGCACAGGCTCAGTAGTTGTGGCACACAGGCTTAGTTGCTCTGTGGCATGTGGTATCTTCCCAGACCAGGGCTCGAACCTGTGTCCCCTGCATTGGCAGGCGGATTCTTAACCACTGTGACACGAGGGAAATCCTACAATATACATTTTTAACTTAATAGTCTACTTTCAAATAATATTATAACAGTTTACATATAATTTAAGAACCTTAAAACAGTATACTTCCATTCTCCCCGTCCTTTGTCCTACTGTTGTCATACATTTTACTTCTACGTACAGCACATAATACACTGATATTATTTACTTTAAATACTCATTTATCTTTTTTTTTTTTGCGGTACGCGGGCCTCTCACTGTTGTGGCCTCTTCCGTCGCGGAGCACAGGCTCCAGGCACGCAGGCTCAGCGGCCATGGCTCACGGGCCCAGCCGCTCCATGGCATGTGGGATCTTCCCTGACCGGGGCACGAACCCGTGTCCCCTGCATCGGCAGGTGGACTCTCAACCACCGCGCCACGAGGGAAGCCCTTGCCTTTATTTTTGAAGGATATTTTCACTGGATATAGATTTCGAGGTTGAAGAAAATTTTCCTTCATTACTTTAAAAATGTCATTCCATTATCTTCTGGTTCATGTTGTTTCTTACAAGAAGTCTTCCGTAATCACTTTTTTCTTTTACATAATGTGTCTTTCTTCTTTAGCTAATTTTAAACTTTTCTTCGTATCACTTGTTTTGAGTAATTATCATGATGCACCTTTGTGTGGTTTTGTTTGCGTCTATTATGCTCGAGGTTCATTCAGCTTCCTGGAACTGAGTTGATTGTTTTCATCAAAACTGAAGAAAAATTGTCTATAATCTCATTAAACATTTTTTCTGTCTCTCTCCACCCTCCTCTCCTTCTAGGATTCTACTTACATGTATGTTAGTCCTCTTGATATTGTGCTATGGGTCCTCGAGGTTCTGTCAACCTTTTTCAGTCTTTTTCCTTTCTATGCTTCATAATGGATAGTTTTTATTGCTATGTCTTCGAGTTCATTGATCATTTGTGCTGTAGTGTCTAATATCCTTTTAATCCTATCAGTGAAATTTTCATTCCAGGTATTATATCTTTCACCTCTAGATATTCCCTTTCATTCATTCTTTTTATAGCTTCCATTTCTCTCCTCATTTAGTTCAAGTCTTCCTTTAAATTCATGAGCATACTTATAACTTTTATAATGTCTATCTTAAGGTTCTCATCTGCTAATTCCATCATATCGTCATTTTTTAGTTTGTTTCTGTTAACTAATTTTTCTCTTGGTTACGGGTTACATTTTTCCTGATTCTCAACATGTCTAGTATTTTTTTTAACATCTTTATTAGAGTATAATTGCTTTACAATGGTGTGTTAGTTTCTAGTTTATAACAAAGTGAGTCAGTTATACCTATGTCTCCATATCTCTTCCCTATTGCATCTCCCTCCCTCCCACCCTCCCTATCCCACCCCTCTAGGTGGTCACAAAGCACTGAACTGATCTCCCGCTGCTATGCAGCTGCTTCCCACTAGCTAGCTACTTTATGTTTGGTAGTGTATATATGTC